TTCCTCTTCTTGCATACTAAACGATACCAAATACTGCCTTTTATAAACATTTTCTAGCTAAAATAATGTGGAGTTACAGATAGATTCCTACTCGATACATTCCACTGAAAAGAGATAAGGGGGGACTAGAGAGATGGCCTGCAAAGATGATCTTGTAGAACTTTAGTTCCCAGCATCCATGTGGTGACCAGCACCCATCCCTAACTCCAGTTCCAGGGGCTCCTACACCCTCTTCTGACCTCCTCAGTCATTGTATGACATGGACACACATACATACATGCATGTAATACACTCACACACACAAAATAAAAATAATAAAATATTTTTTTAAATAGGAAAGAAGAGACTGGAGAGATGACTCAGGAGTTAAGAGCACTGGCTGCTCTTGCAGAGGATCAGGGTTTGGTTCCCAGCACCCACATGGTACTTAACTATCAGTAACTTCAGGTCCAGGGGATCTGACACCCTCTTCTGACCTCCAGAGGCGTTGTACAACACGGGTGCATTTACATGCATGCAGGCAATACACTCATACACATAAAATAAAAGGTAAATGTTTTTTTTTTTAAGGAAAGAAAAAATAAGGGGAAGTGAGCGAGCTGTGATGGGTTGGTTAATCTTCACTCTCAACTTGACAGGGTTGGAATTACCCAGGAGATTGGGTGGCAGGTCAATGGACATGTCTGTGGGTATGTCCAGAGAGGATTGACAGAAGGAAGAAGATCTGCCCTGTGTGGGCAATTTTGTTTTCTGGGCCAAGGGACCAGGTGAAAAGGGGAAAAACCTACTAGAGCTCTGCATGCCCCCTCCTCCTGCTCCTTGTTTGCTTGCGAAGGGAGCAATAATCCCCCAGCACAGGCTCCTGCCACTAGATTCTGCTCAGAAGCATGGGACCAAGTTGCCAAGGGCTTAACCCCCTGAGACTGAGCCAAAATAAGCCCTTCCTGCTTTAACTTATTTCTGTCAGATATTTTGGCCACAGTGATAAAAGCTAATTCATACCCTTTCTTAAAGCAATCTAAAGGCACTGATTGAACTGCCAAGCAACAATTACAGCGATTCCAGATAAGAGCCATGAATCTGATAAAGGCATCTTCAATAGGAGCACACGAGAAGGCAATTGGCATTTAAGAAAGTACTATAACTTTTGCCTATATTTATTTTTTTATAAAAAATTAGAAATCAATTAAGCTTTGTGAATATTTGAGACTTTAACAGGAATGATCCCACTTCAGTTCTAAAATCACATGGCTACAAGGTTGAGGCACTTGACCTCATGAAGGAAAGAAACTTGGTAGTTTCAAGACACAAATATTAACAGTAGCTATGTGGTTCCTTCATTTGCCTTCGTTTCAATTGATTTCCATTTCCATTTGGCTATTTAGATGGATTTATGCAGTATTTTTTTTTTTTTTGGTCTTTTTAAGACAGGGTCTCCCTGTAGCCCCAGCTGTCCTGGAACTCACTATATTGACCAGGCTGGCCTTGAACTCACAGAGATCTGCCTGCCTCTGCCTCTGCCTCTGCCTCCCAAGTGCTGGGACTACAGGTATGTGCCACCACACCCGGCAGAATTTTATTTTAAGATACAAAATACAAGTCTTCACAGTGAGAAAGGGCATGATCCAGAAAATCATCCCACAAAAATATCTCCTAATGATGTCACCATACTTATTTCTGAGCTTAAAGATTAGTTATGCATTTGCTTTACAAAGCAGAAAAGTATCCAAATATTCTGACCATTCTGTGATTTTCCTCAATGGTGTCTTTACAATAGACATGTTTTAAAAATCATAGCCATTCTTTCAAGGTAAAGGGGTCATTTATTCTAAAAGTTTGTTTTTATTTGGTAATTATAGGGGAGGATATGGGTACCTGTGAATGCAGATGCTCCGGGAGTCCAGAAGAGGGTGTCAGATCCCCTCAAGATGGACTTTCAGGTGGTGGTGAGCCACCTGACATGGTGCTGGGAACTGAACTTCAGTCCTCTGGAAGAGCAGCAAGTGCTCTCAAAAGCTGAACCATATCTCCTGCCCCAAAAAGGACATCTTAACAATCCATGAGAAAGTATCTCAAAGTGAACATACTGAAAATGAATGTTTGAAAATGTTTCCAGTGCAGGCCTGGTGTGGTGGCACAAGCCTTTAATCCCAGCACTTGGGAAGCAGAGGAATGTGGATCTCTGTGAGTTCGAGGCCAGCCTGGTCTACACAGTGAGTTCCAGGTCAGCTGGGGCTACAGGGAGACCAAAGAAGAAGAAGAAGAAGAAGGAGGAGGAGGAGGAGAAGAAGAAGAAGAAGAAGAAGAAGAAGAAGAAGAAGTAGTGGGGGAGGGG